CAAATTTGTGAACCTAACTAAAGTATCCAAAAGCATCAAATCAACACATTAATCTATAATGCAAGCCTCAATCAAAAATTAAAAGAAAAAGAGAAAAGAAATGTTAGTTACGAGTAACTATTTCTACATTGACATCACTATGTTTTTCACATGTTTGCTTGAAGGTTGCATTTACCTTCAAAGGCTTGGGATTGTCTCTACATTCCTAGCAAAGGAATTACACGACATCAATTTCAACCTTGACTAAAATTCCAGTAGCAAAACTCTTCTTCTATTTTCTTTTCACTTGCAAAAATCTGTGTGCTTTTTTTTTCTCTATTGTTTGACAAATCACTACCTCCAACAAAAAGGACAATTGTCAATACCCAATATTTTCTCAGTCCCTTCACCCCACCTCTTTATACCCTCTTTTGAGAACCTAAAACTTGAAAACATAACCGGATCAACTTGACACTTGTAGAAATCCAAAATTCCCTCCTTTTGGCACAATTTACACGTTAATCACCTAACCAATAAACTTAAATTTTGATTAATGAGGACATTGAGATCAACATCTAATACTACATAGGCTTTAATACCCCAATCAAGCACAGTCCTTAGACCTAAGAAACTATAACATAGTTACACGTTAAATTTCATGACCAAACTCCAAAGATCCATTGTCCATTACACTAACTTCCTCATTAACAATCTTTATTTATAGAATGTTTAAACCTTGACTCAACAAAATCAAATTTGATACATTCATTGCCTCAAGGGCACTAAGATAAAATCAACCCCCAAATCCCACTTTAAATCTATAACAATTAACCTTGAAAAATGCTGAGATTCCATCAATGGCCTTGGATGAATAGAACTAGACAATCAAGATCAACAAATTCCTAAGCAATCAAACACCTCTCATTAAATCTAAAATCCTCAAAATAATCCACCTGTTCAATGTTAGCCTTAATTTCTTCAATTTCCTTCTAAAATAAGCAAGACTCAATTTTGAGCCTTCTCATTGGTTGATAAACCATAAGATAAAACCTTGATCTAAATCTAATATTTCTATCTACATCTTTGATCACATATCCATCTCTTCATCAGAGTCAAGACACTCAAAAGTGCCCCTACATGTCAAATTTCATCCCAAGATTCCCCCATTTGACCCACTATCAAGCCAATATTATGTTTTAGAAAATCTCGTTGATTAGAACGTACCAGCCATAGATCTCTATCATCCAAATATCATTTAAACAACCAGACCTCACTACCACTTTTAGAGACCAAATAAAACCCAATACATTAAGTTCCATTACATAATTCCTCTATTTGACTGTTAAACAAGCAAAATTCTCTTCTAAACATCCTTATTAGTTAATAAACCATAAGCTAAAACCTTGATCCAAGCCAAATTTTTCAATCCACACCTCTAATTAAAGATTCATCCCTTCCATCAGATTCAAGACATTTAAAAATGACTACCCACTATATTTCATTCCAAGACTCACTCATTTGACCCACTATTAAAAGTAAGGTTTTATTTTAGTAAATTTTGTTAATTAGAGCTACCAACCATAGATCTTCAACATCCAAACCCCAATTAACAAATCAAACCTCACAACCAAGCTTAGAGACCAAAAAAATTCCTTTATTGTCAAGTTTCACGACCTAATTCACCTATTTGACCATTAAGCATAAATGATTCTATTTTAATGCTCCATATTAAATTGCCCTTTATCTGTCCCAACTTGAGACCTCAAGAAGGTGGGGCTGATGTCAGCCCTATACTTGATCTATTAAAATACATAGAGCAATAAAATTGGGCCTAGTAGAGTTAACCCCCACAAAAAAAAAAACAAAATGGCATTAAATTTACATTTTACGCCATTGGGAGCCCAAATATGAGACTATAATGGTAGACACACCCAAGACCTTCATTGAACACACAAAACCTGTGAAAATCAACCCTAAATTGAGGAAAATTGTTGATTGCAAACCTTTTCCATTTGAAAATCCTTGCCAATTTCATGAAAATGCCCTCTTGAAGTCCAAGCTTTGTGATTGCACAAGTTTAGGCTTGATTTTCCTTCCTTTCTTTATAAATAGAGCCCCAACTCAAGCTAGAGAAGAGGAGAAATCCTAAAAATATTCATAGCATCTATAAAGATCCCATTTACCAGAAATCTCTAAGTATTTGAGTCTTAAACTTTAAATCCGCCCGCTATGTTTCAAACTTGAGATTTGCAAAAACTCTTCAAGCTTTTGACAGTTTTAGATTTTCTTTGACGTTAAATGCCAACTAAAAGCATTTCCCCAGCTCAAGAGCTCATTAAAACACCACTTTAGCTTGGTTCAACTATTGGAAAATCCTTGTTAATATTACAAACAAAGGGTAATGCTCACCCTTATGCTTACCTAGTTTCTTTTTTTTTTTGGTATTTTAGTATTTTGGTGCCACACGCCATTAATAACCCCCCTTCCCCAAATTTTGGGTTATAGGTATCGATTATGTGCAAATGCTGGAGTGAACCAACTAACATGCCAATGAGCCACCCCCCTAATTAGTCCTATGTTTAACTAGTCACCTGACTAGGATTTTAAGTTCATTTCACAACCAAGTTGTTTGCTTGCCAAAAAAAACTAATAACTCAAGTAACAACATTGTTACCTAACCAATTGAAACGTTTGACCTGATTAATAGAGTCCCGTGTTATGCATTAATTCTTTATTTCCTTATTTTGTATAGTTTATTTCCATCATTACTAAAAAATTCTTATTTATTAAACTTTCTTTTGTTTAATATGATGAATACAAAGTACTAGATATGTACCTAAATCTTTTCTACAATTTTTGTATAACATTTTTCTATTTTTATCATTTTTCATCTTCATTTTGTAATTTTGATATCATGGATTGATCCATTTAACCTAGACAATTGAAGCATTGGCCTACAATTTGGACGAAAACGATTTTGATTCTAGAAAGTTTTAAATTTTGTATTCAATTTCTATCATTAATAAAATAAATCTTGTTTGCGAGTTGAGATGCTATCTTTGTTTATTATGATGAATATATAATATTACAAATGTGTACAAATTTCTTTTATCCATTTTCTATATATTTCTATTTACTTTATTTGTTTAATATTTAATTAGAACATCATGGGTTGACTGGATTTTAGATGAATTGTTGGGAAAACAGTTTTATTTTTTTGTCAGTTTAAAATTTTTGTATTTCATTTTCATCATTGATAATACTTCTCATTTAACATATTTTTATTCAATATGAAGAATAAATTATATTAGAGATGCACACAGATGCTTTCACAATTTTTTATATTTTTAATATTTTAGTTTTATTATTTAATTATGATGTCATGAGTTAACAAATTTAACCTAGATGGAAATGGTTTCATTTGTGTTGATTTAGATTTTCTATTCTATTCTCATCATCAACAAAAATAATTATTATTTAACACTTATTTTTTTCACAAAGCAGTAACATCCACCGACCTTACCACGAGGAGCCTGCAATTATGCACGTTTGATTTTACACCCCCATATATGGAGGGACACCAAGTGACCATCTCAGCTACTAGGTCATCGGTGATTGTTGGGCAGAATTGGTACATTATTCGGATGGCCCAGATTAGTTGAAATGTTGGTTTTACTTGGATGATTTAGATATACTAATTTGATACCTTATGTGGGTTAGCTAAGTTAGTTTAAATCACTACAAATAATTGAATAGATGAGATAAATTGACTATAAGCCATTTTGATGCTCCAAATCTTTTGGCTTGTTTTGTATATCACTTCATTTGACATAGATCTTCTAGAAATTTTATTGCTTTATTTGAATGGATAAGGTTAGTTGAAACCTTAGTACATTACATGGATGGCTACATTAACTCTTATACTTAAAGACATTTTTCTATTTCAATAATTTCTCTCATTTAGACTGTTTAGTTTGAAAGAAAGGTAGGGAAAAAAAGGGTAACGCAGGGAACCTTAACAAAGTTTTCTTATCTTTCCCTACTTTTTCTTTGAAACCAAACGTAGCCTTAAGGTCAATAGATGGTTATAGCTGAACTAGGGATCGAATCCTAACATTACTAGGGTTTGGGGGACAGGCTACCGCTACCTCCTGTTGTACAGCTCCATGAACCGAAAGAAAATTTCTTTCCATTCAAATTACCTCTTTTAACGCTTCTCACTCTTTCTCCATCATTAACACCCGACTGTTAACGCTTCTCACTCTTTCCATTCCTACTTTAGAGAAATGGTTAAACAGTACTTCTATTCTCAATAAAGAATATCCACTATCTAGGGAGTAATTGTTTCTATTCTCAGAAAAGTTTCAAATCACTTAACAATAGATTATGGCTCAGTTAGTAAAATTTTTTTGGTTGCATAGGAGACCTAAGATAAAATCCTAGGGCTGGTAAGTTCTGATAGTCTGAATGACCTTTTTGGGTCCCAATATGAACCAATGTTTTTGAGCCATCATTGACCTTGGAAACTGTCCAGGCAACTAATTCCATTTTATCCCAAACCTGGTCCTTAGCCAAAAGCCATTGAATCAATCAATCCCCCACTGACCAGGGCAGTCAAACTGTCGACCCATTAAACGATTTTTGTCTTTTTTTTTATTTTAATTATTTCTAGTTGGAATAAGATGTTTGTTCAAACTGGATAGTTGAACCATCAACCCAAAAACCAATGGCCAGAACGGTTCAGGTTCTGGGTCAATTTTTAAAACCTTGGTTTGAACAGGTAACTGCCAAGCATGTCCGACTCTTCTAACATTGGTCCTAACCGAGTCCCAAGGCTATATTTAACTTTGAGCAGAAAAGCGGGAAGCGGGTTCAAAAGGCTCGACGCCTTTTACAACATAGCCTGATACTTGGATTCTTCGGTTATTTTCCCTCTTCCCTCGAGTTGTAACTTCTCACCGTCTCATCACCTCTACCTCAATGAATGTCATGTATTACGCATACAGACCAGAGGGAGCATGAAGCATCAACAAATTAGTAACCAAATATCTCTTTATCCACTTCACAAACTGAATAAAATGATTATATAAACAAGGGTGTTGGTGTTACCAAAGCGAACAAAAGTAAAATCTATACAGAACCAGTCTTAAACGGCACTTCTAACCAATCATACTACACTTCACAAACCCAGCTGGAATTGCCGCCTCAAATTGATCACGAATAGTGAGCATTCAATATCTCCCGATATACCATGTCAATGAAACGATTGTCCTACAAGATTGAAGGGAAAGGAGGGGAATTAGTATATGAAAAACTTCACTCAGAAGAGGAACTATTAATCTTACAAGAAAAGCAGTAACATTCATGAAATAAAACAGTAAAATTAGAATGGTGGTGGACCTACTCTTCTCATTTTAGTGATCTACAATTTAAAATGTAACAACAATCCTAAAACAATAGGCCACACATTAATCAGTGGCTATCACTTTGTGCCTGCATAGTATGCCAATGTAAATGCTCAATAACCCTAAGCAGCCTCTTACCCAAAACAAAAACCCCAAATAGTTAAAGATATTGCTTAGTCATTTATAATAGCTCTGCTGTCTTCACCACTAATATTACTAGTGCACTGAAACTAGGCAATACCATATCACTAAAAAGTTTAATAAAGAAAATAAATAGACTGAATTCCAATGAGGTGCAATGAATTACGCCCAAGAAATTGCTTCCCTTCTCGAGTGGAATTTAATGTTCATTGGCCAATGCAGAGCAAGAAGACACATAGAGTCTAGGCATTTTTGGCTTAAACCATTCAACACAGCGAAACGCTAATACTCTCAGCATTACTTACATGCGTGCCCACATGAGGTGGCATAACTAATCAAATTACCACCATCTCAAAACCGTTGACATGGACACATGTAAAAACACTAGACGGTCCAATAAAAGCCCTTTGTTGTTAAAAAGTCCCTAATTTGATGAAGTACAGAAACATGTCCCAGTTCATTTCTGTCGTGCACCATACCAATTCCATCTGTCCAACATATGGGGACATCTGAATTGACAATGTGTTCAACCTGCAATACCAGCAGCCCTGTACATCTAGTATTGATATTGCCTACAACTGCTTTCTTTTTTTTATGAGCAACATAAATTTTAATAAATGAAAAGATAAAACAGAATTACAATAGATCAGACAACAGTCATTGGGATGAACTGATCTCAAAATAATACATTAATGGGACATCCCATCCCCCTAAAACAGATTCTTTCTACCCCTTGTCCTGCTAGCCCATTTGCAGATCTGTACACCCAATGTACTGCAACTATGGTACTCCACACAACTGATATTAGCAGTTCAAATTGTTGACTTTTTAGTATAAAGCTTGCCCAAAAAGCTTATCCTGGACATATGAGAATGTTTTTTAGCCCCCATCCATCTTGAAATGTACAAGAACCCATCCAATGGACATATAGAAGACACCAAGAAGCCACTCAGGCTTGAAGTCAAAGTCTACTTTTTCTCGTCTCATCTTACCGTAACTCACAGAAAGTCCACACTTTCCTCTTTCTAGTATTAAAGAACCATCTGACTTGAAACTCAGTAACTTGGAAATTGTTTAATTATCAATTAACCATGAAGGTTAGGTATTTCCGTGCAAAGAAATTTTGGTTCACATTTGACCACCTTCTCCCAACCCTTACATTTGCATTTTAACTCCTATACCATACACAATTTACTAGGACAAAAATTCCTATTTCGTCTTCGAACTTTTTTATAGCTTATTTTATTTATGAACCTAGACGTTCAAATCTCATAATTAACCCTCTTTATTGGGATTAGAATGGCATCCTATTGAACCCAAGGTTCAAAGTATCGATACGATACGAGTTTCGGCCGTATCGTATCAGCACTTAGAAACGGCCAAAACTCTTTTTTTTTTTTCAAATTTTAGTTTTTTGGGAAGCTTTTAGCATGCTTTTTATTATTAAAAAAATTGGGGGTCCAAAACACCTGGAAACAGGCGTTTCGGACCGTATCGTTTTCAAAAGATACGATACGATATGCCCGATATGAGGCGTATAGTATCAATACTTTGAACCATGATTGAACCTTTTTCTGCATAGACTGCCATTTTACTTGAAATCCTAAGTACTGATTTGAACTTCTTTGTCCAGAAATTCTTAAGTAATTTTCCAGATTTTATTAAGAAAATTCATTATAAGTAGGGAAGGCAAATTTCCCCTTCCCTGCCAGGTACCCAGCTTCCCTGACCTAATGAGGTCAGGAATGGAGATTGCCTTGGTGGGGGACAGGGGCAGGGACAAGGAGTGAATATTTTATATATATATATATATTAAAAAGTACACATATAATTCCATATATTATACTATTTATATTATATATCAAAATATACTTAAAATATTTTTTTTATTTTAAAAATTTCCCTTATTTTAAATAAATATATTTTCTAAAAAACTTGTAATTTAAAAATTTCGGGGATCCGGGTCCCCAATGGGGGACCCATCTCCATTGAGGACCAGAAATGGAGGGTCATATTAATCCGCAGCAGGGATTGGGGTAGGGGACGGGAATTTATTTCAAAATTGGGTTGGGAATGGGGAATATGGTCCACACCCCATTGTCATTCCTAATTATACAAAGGATATGGGAGGGGAAAGAATATCTCAAGATGTACCATTTGGACAGATTGGAAAAGTTATGGGTATTTCCCATCCTCCATCTTCACTTTGATCATTTTAACGAATGAATTTGGAATCAGTCAAATACAGCAGTTTCAAAACCACATATTATTTTGAGCGAAAATCTGCACTTATAAAAAGCTTTAAACTTCAGACGAATATGAGGTGAGCAGCAGTTGAACTAAAGACAGGAACACTTCAAGAAATCTTCTCATTAATAAAACAAAATCAACCAAAAGCCTAAGGGTACATTCAATGCTCTTCTAATTTTAGTTGCAATATCATTGATCTAGCTTATCCATAGCATGAGCCATTTACAACAGAAAAAAAAAAAAACATCCAACATATCTACTTCACGTACATTAACAAAATTCTGAAATCTATATTTAATGGCAATATATATAGTGGCATCTGACTTCATTCCATTGAAAAAAAAGAATCTGTGAGCCTTGTGGATGGCGTTTAATAAAAAAGTGAATAAGTAGACAAATTACAAGGCACATACCTGAACCAGCCTCAGAAGTGCATCACGGACTTTGTCTCTGTTAATAACTGGGCCATAGTTTGGAGCAGGAGCAGGTGCAGGAGTAAGAGATGGGGGTGGAGTGGGTGGTGGAAAGGGTTGAAGCAGCGGAGTACCATATGGGCGCTGCAGATTCACAGGAGGATGAAGAGGAGGAGCAGTTGGCATAGATGAGATAGGTGGCATCAATGCAGATGAGGATGGAGGAGGTGTAAAAAATGAAGAAGGCTTTACAAGATTAGTAGCTCGGTTACTGCCACTGGATTCAGTTGTATCAAGGAGTGGCATTATAGGAGTAGATGAAGCTGGCAAAGCAGATGGCATTTGTAGGGCTGGCACAGGAGAAGGAACAACACTAGGAGTGTGGGAAGACAGAGGGATTGTTGCAGAAGACTGGTGAGGTTGCCCTGAAATTGCTCCACCAGGAGTGTTCCCTATGTTCATAGCCGCCTGTCACAACAGCATTAAAAGGATTTCCAATTGTCAGATACAGGCAAGAAAACTAAGCTTGCATGTGCACCAAAAACAAGCTGAAGGATAGATAATGACTGTAAACAAAAAATCCAGAATGAGATTTCATATAGAGGAAAAGTCAATTATCACTTATCACATTGCCATCTTGCAGAAAAGGGACCACTGTAGGATGCAACTGGAACATCCAATCCATTATATAATTTCATAACTCCACAAAGACTTCCTTTCACTCCAATCTGTATTAGATTTTTGTGTTTCATGTTATAATTCTAATTATTTATTAGCATAAAGTGTTATATCCAATGTGACTTTTACAGTTCACATAACCCTTTCTTAGTGCACTTTAGTTCTTGTATTTTCTTTCCTTTTTCTTTTGCAATTTTTTCATAAAGAAAAGGCAAATTGTCACCTTTCCTCTTTAGCATTTCAAGAGGGGAATTCCTTGAATCAAAAAGGTTCTCCCCTCATTTATTTTTTTTCTTTTGATAAATAGTTCTCCCCTCATTTATTCCCAGTTTCAAGGGGCCTTCACTCAGGAAAGGCAAATTGTGGATCAGATCTTAATTGCTAATGAGCGTATTGAGACCCAGAAAAGATTAAAGAAGAAAGGAATTGTGGTTAAATTGGACTTGAAGAAGGCATACAATCAAGTGGATTGGAAGTTCTTAATTAATATAATGAGAAGTTGTGGCTTTGGGGATTTATGGTGTAAATGAATCAGATATTGTCTGGAATCTAGTCATTACTCAATATTTTTCAATGGGTCGGTGGTGGTTGATTTGTGGTCCTAGGGGAAGTTGGCTTGGATAGTAGGGTGTGGACCCTTAATCCAGCCAGACTTTTCACCTATACGTCTTTGTTTACCTCTCTTATTCCCTCCTCACTTTCCCCTTCTTCCTTTCCTATTAAGGAAATCTGGTATGCTCCCATTCCTCCAAGAGTCCGTGCTTTCTGCCAGTAAGTGTTTCATGGTTGTATTAACACTTGTGATGTACTTCAAAACTTCAAAGGAAGAGGCCAAACTGGTACTTGTCCCCCAACTGGTGCTATTTATGCAAGTTAAATGGTGAGATTCTGTTTCATCTCCAAATACCTTGTCCCTTTGTTGGCTTTATCTGGGATTGGTTTGCTTCACTTTTTAGTTGTGGGTGGCTACCTCTTGATAGTTTGGAAGGGTTGTTTAGCCCTTTTGTTTGCAGTGGTATAAAAAGGAAGGGCAGGTTAATGTGGAAATGTACTAGGGCAGTAGTGGTTTGGACAATGGGTCTATTGCTGACTCCTCTTCTAGAAGACAGATGGTAACAGGAAATAGTGGAATGGTCACCCCCACTTACTGGCTGGATGAAGCTGGACTTTGATGGGAGTTGTGTGGGAAATCCTGGCCCATCTAGAATTTGAGGGTTAATCAGGGGTGAGGAAGGAAACATACGTCCTTTTTTCTCAGGTCCAAATGAGCAAGGTGATGTTGCCATAGCAGAATTCTTGGCAGCAGTTTCTGGAGTTGCAAAAGCCAAAGAATTGGGTTTCAAAAGGTTAATTATTGGACGATTCAATTAGATTTCTAAGGACATGTCCATTCAAGTTAATTGGGTAAGAAGGTCTGCTAACAGCTTGGCAGATGGTCTAGCTAAGCAAGGGGTTCAGAGACAATCTATGTTTTGGGCTCAATTGTAATTCTGTGGGGGGATTTTGACTCTGTTGAGTCTATTTGTTTATTCCACAACTTCTTGTTCTGTTTTCTCATAATTTTAATAAATTTCTTTCTGAGTACTGATAAAAAAAAAAAAAAAAAAAAACATTTCAAGAGGGGAAGTTCCATTGGTACATTGACATGAAGTGCAGATCCTTAACCCAAAGGGTGGACACCTTGTTCAGATGGGTCTGATGATCTATAAATGATTTGGCAATACTCTCTGCTTATAGGTGAAATGGATGAACATTTGAGACAGACATTAGATTGGAGAAGCATGGCACTTGTCATTTGATTTGGGTACAGAATTTCAACGGATACCCAGATCTGCCAAGTGCTAGTTCACTTGCTGATTCCCTAAGCTGCAAAGGAGTTAGCAGACATGCCTTGGCGTGGGGTAATCATCCTTTGAATACTTGGCCATTGTAAAATTGGAGACCTGAAAGGACCAGGGGGAAGCAGTGCAGGACTGGCTCCATGACACTGCCTATACATCATCAGAAGTGCATACACTCTGTATGTACATACTGTACATTTTCTGATAACATTAATAAAGCATCATCAGTTATTGATCAAGAAAACCTCCAAATTCTTCAACAGATTAACCAGCAAGGGAAGAGGCAAATCAGGATTAGTATTACAAGGGATTTACCATTCTTGGGTAGTTCATACAATTGAGAAACAAAGGGTGACTAGGCCCCGTTGGCTCAGTCTTTACATCTGCTAAGGAGCTTTCTGTACTACTATATCTATACCAGTGTTTTAAAAGTGAGAGGCACAAGAAAGCAAAAGGGCCTTTCTAGCGCCCAGTTGCATGGCAAGGTGCAGATCTAGATGGAACAAGGCCCAAATTGTTGGAAAATAAAATAATGAAATATACAGATTTATACATAAAAATATGACAACCTGAATTTAAAAGAAATTAAATGTTTAAAAAAAACTATTAGCCCAAATCAAAATACATAAGAAGGATATAAAACAATTCACTGTAAAAGCAAGGTACTTCGAGCACTCAACAATTCAAGTATGCTAAACTCTGAAAGAGTTTGTCTCATCTCATAGTTATGTTACTTAATGTGGCTATTGTGGTGTTAGATGTCTTATATTCCTTATCCCAAGGTATCGAGGCCTTTAAACTGGTATGTCTTCAAGGCCCCTTGAGGCAAGTCCAAAAACATTTGGCAGAATTTTTTGCCCATATATACAAGGGTGTTGGTTTTGTGATGTTTCTCTTTTGATAAATAGTTAGTTTTGGTTTTGTTGCTTTTGTGATGTTGGCCACAGTTTATTTTATTATAGTGTTAAGGATGTCTGATTAGTTGTAACATCATTGCTTCTCTGGTGGAAAATTTTATTTAGGAGATCCTATCTGCAACAACCAGGGCTTCAGGTATTCAAAAATCATTGTTTTTCGCTTCTTTTAACTAGGAGATCCCCACATCCTGGTGCAGGCGGGATTCAGAGACCTTCCAACTAGCCAGTTGGCACCTTGCAACATCATTGACAATATCTCCATCAATATGGCACATTGGATCAAAACCATAGAGCTTTTTGAATCATATGCAACTGATGACATCATTAGGAGTTGGAGAAGAGTGAATGGTTCTGCCCCAAACAGGTCAATAGCATGAGCTGAATGGTTTCCACCGCCCCCCTATATGAAGCTGAACTTTGATGGTTGCGGAAAAGGCAACCCTGATACATTAGGTATAGGAGTAGTAGTTAGAAATCAAACAGGTGACATCATGAATAAATATTCATGACCTAGTGGTGTTGGGGATTCAATTAGGAGAGAACCTAAGGCTGTTCTGGCAGGTTTGAAAAGGCCTGCACTTGTAAGGTAAAACAATACAATTAATGAAGAGGGGGGGGTTCAAAGATCATAACAGGCTGGTTGGGAAGAAATCAGGACAGACCATGGAAGCACAGATATGAGATTGGAGAAGCTAAAGAATGAATAAAGGAATTGAGAGCAGCCATAAAGCAGATGCCTACGTCTACTAATAGTCTAGCAGAAGCTAAACAATTAATGTATCAGGGAATTGTGTTTGATACTAAATCTCACAAGGATGGTTAGTTGAGGCTGACCATCCCTATATAGCTATGTACATTAACTTATTTCCTATTAACCAACTAATAAAACTCTTCAATGTTACTAAAAAACATGCATACATACAATGAAAATATGTCGGGGTTGGGTTGGATCGGGCTGCCCATGGCCTCAGCCTTAACCTAATTCAAAGTTATGTTGGGTTCATATCCAAACCCTAATCTGACCTTCAACCAACTCAATTTTTTTGGGTTAGTTTTAGGCTAGCCCGACCCAAGTTGCACCACCAAGCGCACCTAAGGCATACATTTTAAATCACTGATCCACACACACACATGAACATATCTATCTTATATCATAAGTTTTGTTGATAAGAAATCAAGCATTATCTATCTAAGGTATGATCTAAACCTGTTGGTATAACAAATCTGATCAAATTAGGGTTGTTTTGGCACCATAGTGTGTTGAGTCCGTATGTTTGTACTTGAAATTCCAGTATTCCACATAAGCACCATTTAGGCATTTCAACTTTTTTTATCATGATTTAGGCATTTCAATTTCTTTTTTTTATTATTTCTTTTTTTATCAATAACGGCAAAAAAAATGTGTTTGGTTGCATAGATTTAAGTTCCAATTTTTGTACCACTTTCTGCATAGGGTTATGTGCCTAGGGGGCATTTCTACTTTGGTTGTCCTACATGGCATCTAGTGGCACGGCACCTAGTGATGCCTGTGTCAAAAACACAAAATTCCAATGTTGTAATTCAAGTACAAAAATTGATTATTAACACCCCATGGTACCAAACATATCCTAGGAGGGAACCCAATCTAACATTCCAAAAGGGTCTGAAGCAGATCTTGTATGGAGTATCCTTGAATAAACCCTTCATACACCTTGCTTGCATTCTCCCACATATCATGACGGACTTTCTACAATACCCACCTTCCCTTTCCTATGGTATTTTATTATATATAGTACCTTCATATATCAATACACACCAAGCTCTCGTCCAAACCCCTAGTGAGTGCACTCATTCATGCATGGATCACACAGATGCATGTGAAATACCACCAAATCTCTAGAACTTTTCATGTTTAATGCTCACAACTTCTTTATCCTGGTCTACACTCATTGGTTGAGGTTGAATATGCATTGAGCTCTACAATATAATAATGCACTTTATAGGAAGACTGAATTAGAGAAATATGGCAATGAGTGATAAAAAATGCAAGTTCAAGGCTATTAATGTTCATGATAAAATGTCTCAGTCAAGAATAAATGTATCGGGGAACAAAGCCCAATCATGAGAGTAAAAAGCTTCCTTGAAAAAGAAGAAAATGAGTGTAAAAAGTGCCTTCAAAAGAGAAACATCAAATACAAGATGGCTGCTAAAGTGTGATAATATTTGCATAGTAAGACTTTTTTTTTTTATAATTGTATTTGCATAGTAAGACTTTTCAATTTAGTATTGAGAAACCATACACTAAAGAAATTCACGAATGAAGAATCATCAGGAACACTAGCAGCAGTTGACGATGATGGCTCCAGTGGGCCCTCCATCACGGCCATCGTTGGAACTGCTTCCAATTCCTCAAACTCACTGCAAGGTAGCATATGCTAATAAGTAGACAATGAAGAGTCCTCAAAATTATATCAAAATTTTCTAAAAGTTATTGTAAATATGTTGTCCTGGAAAAAATTTATAATGTAGCATAGGAAACTGAAACAAAAGACTGCTCAGTGAACTACAAAAATGTAAAAATAAAATGTAAGTTCCTAATCATGGGAGATAGACAAAACCTGATTTAATTCTAAAACTAAACACAATTAAAACAAATGCCAGACAAAAAGAACCCTAACAATCTTAGTTTCTCTTTCAAAGAATCTACTTACAGCCTTGAATCACTTTGTCCTCCAATTTGAAACTTTAGATCGGCTAGAAACTTAGTTTATTCAAGTGACTAAACCGTCCTAAGAATACAAAGAAAAAAGAAATAACTAAAATTGATTGATATCAAATGAGAAGGAAACAAGACAAAACATAAATCGTAGATCAACTAAGCTCGCTCAGGTTCTTCCCATAATTTCAAATGTCGCGAAATGTCGCTAATGTCGCCCGACATATGTCGACGTCGAGGCTCACCGACATGAAAATGGATGGTAATATAAAAATTACATTATTTCGGTCGACATTTCCTATATTTCAGAAATGTCAACCAAATCTATCCAAATAATAAAATAAAAGACAGTTTTTCCTATTATGTCGACAAGATGCCGACTAATGTACATTAATAATATAAGATATTAGTATATTATATTAATATAATACAGTATATTAATATAACTTATTCCATTAATAATTTCTATTTAATATTTCAAATAAAATATTTATAAAAAAGAATTAACAAAATATAAAAACAAAAGAATAAATTAATTACTTTATAATATAAAACATAAAATGTTTTTCAAGTAATAAAATATTAACTAGTTAGTAATTTTTGAAATATTTATTAAAATCAGAAAATGTTTATTAAATTTTATAATAAATCATATTCTACATTTAATATAAAAAATCAGAATAAATTTATTAAATTTTATACTAAATCATAATTTATTATAAATTTAGTATTAAATTTTAGTGAAATGCTTTGAAAGGATCTCCAACTTGAGAGTAAACTTGGGTAAAAGCTATTTGGTAGGGCTGAATATAGGAGAGGAAGGGTTGATAGATGCTGCTGAGATATTGGGTTGTTCAATTGCTCAATGGCCAATCAAGTATCTTGGCCTCCCTCTTGATGGGAACCCAAAGGCCTCTTCTTTCTAGAACCCAAAGGTGTTGTCTCTTAGGATTAGACAGGTGCTCCCTACCCTTGTAACACAACCAAGGAGCTTTTGTGAAGGTAAGGTAGATAACTGATCAAATACTTATGAAAGTGTTGAGGGTTTCAAGAAGTCAAGGAAAAAGGGAGTGGTTTGCAAGTTGGATCTAGAAAAAGCTTATGATTTAGTAGATTGGTCTTTGCTGGAGATGATGATTCACTTTGGGTTTGGAGATAGATGGTGCAGTTGGGTGATGGGGATGCATTAGGACTTGTCACTATTCTATCTTGGTAAATAGGACGGTGGTGGATTTCTTTCTGGCTTTGAGAGGAATAAGACAAGGAGACCCCATTTCTCCTTTTTTGTTTACTTTGGTTGCAGAAATTTTGGGGTGACTGATCTCTAGAGCAGATTCCAAGAACTTAGTTAGAGGGTGGAGAGTAGGTAGGGAGGACATACCACTCACGCACTTGCAATTTGTAGATGATACATACTCTTCTATAAAGAAGGGGATTTGAATTGGATTAGGAACCTAAAACTTACAAAACAACTTTTTGAGCATATGTCAAGTCTAAAGGTAAATTTTGAAAAAGTTGTATAGTGGGAGTTAATCTAGGGGAAGGAGAGATTCTCGAGTAGCATTCTGGAATGTGCAATATCTAATTGGCCTCTAAACTACCTTGGTCCACTTCTAGGAGATAATCCTTACAAAGGAAAGTACTAGATTTCGGTTGTGGAGAATTTTGAGAAAAGACTTGCATCTTGGAAGAAAAAATACTTATCTCTTGAAAGAAGAATCACCTTGATTAGGTCTGCTTTAGCTAACTTGCCTGTCTATTTTTTGTCGACCTTTAAGATTCCAGTAGGGGTGGTTAGCAAGTTGGAAAAACTAATGAGAGACTTCCTTTAGGAGCCAGGGGAGGAGAAAAAGGACCATAGGGTTGGGTGGGAGGTGGTGTGTGGAAGTAAGAAGTTGGAGGTCCTGGCATAAGGAAGAGAAACTTGGCTCTTTTAGGGATGTGGTTGTGGAGGTTCCATTAGAAAAGTTGTGGGCTGAGATAGTAGATAGTATTCATGAGCTTACGAAGAATGGATGGGACTCAAGGATTCTAGCTAGGACTACAAGAGCATCACCTTGGAAAGCAATCCAAACTATTCCGCCCCTATTTTCACCCTAGATGAAGTATGACTTGCACTCAAGAAATCTCATCATCAAGTTTTGGGAACATGTTTGGGTTGGGGATTCTCATTTGAAAGACCAATTTCTGGCCCTTTTTGCTATCTCTATCTTTAAAAATGAACCGATCTCCACTTTCCTTGTACCCTCTAACTCGAACTCTGGGTTTGGATGGAACTTCGGTTTAAGAAGAGCTATCAGGGACATAGAACTGGAGAGTACTTTGACTCTCTTGACCATCCTTGATGGGGTTTTCCTAAAACCCACAAAGATAAACAGCAGAATTTTGACCCCCTCTCCATCAAGTTCTTTTACTTGTGTTTCCTTCTTTAAAGCCCTAATTTAATCGGTTGTCCCTCTTGGCTTGTCATTCTTTGTTAAATAAGTTTGGTATCAGCCTATCCCACCAAAGGTTGGGAGTTCTTGTTGGAAAGCCTTCTTGGAAAGAGTCAACACAAGAGATTTGCTTGAAAGAAAGAGACCCAATAGATGTTTTTCTTCTCACGGGTGTGTTCATTGTAAAGCTGATGGTGAGTCTGGTTACCACTTACTAGTATCCCAGCAATTTGCAAAAACTATTTGGGAATGGTTTACTTCTATTCTTGGGTGCAGGTGGACTCCCCCACTGGATGTGCAAAGCTTGTTACTTCCTCTTCCTTCAACTGGCCAACAAAAAGGGTAAGGATTATGTGGGGATGTGTTAGCGCTGTTGTTTGTCGAACTATATGGGAAGAAAGAAATTCTAGGATTTTTCGGATAAGGAGAGAAGTCTAAAAGTTGTGCTAGAAGTGATTCACATAAGGGTGATACCTTGGATGAAATAATTGGATTTGTTTACAGATTTTTTCAGTGGATGATAGGATAAGGTTAAGAAAATGGAAAGAAATTGCTAGTTCAGTCTCAGTTAAGAAGACCTCAAGTCCTTCTTGGGGTCCACCTCAAGGCTTTGTTAAGCTGAATTTTGATGGTAGTAGTATGGGAAATCCAAGGCCTTCTGGTATTGGGGGAGTTCTAAGGAATGAGAAAGGGAATGTAGTAGCTATGTTCTCTGGCCCAATCAGAGTGGGAGATTCTCTGAGGGCCAAGGTACTAGCAGCTTTGGAAGGGGTAGAAAGAGCTAAAGACCTAAATAATAATAAGCTGGTCATAGATGGAGATTCTGAGGTTCTAGTGAGCTGATTAAAGGAAGACAACGCTAGGTTCTGGAACTACAGCAATGAAAGGAGAAAGTTTAAGTGGCTGACTAAGGACATTGGAGTTAAACGCACATGGGTAAAGAGAAGTGCAAATTCTTATGCAGATTGGTTAGCTAGGCAATGGGTGAATAGGGATTTTGTTTTCTGGGTGCAGATGTAATCATTTTTCTTCTTTATTGGGTGTTTTTCGGCATCCTTGAGGAGTTAAGATAATTTAGCTCCCCTCCCTTGTAAGTTACATTCATTCTGTTAATGAAATTTCCGATTATTGATAAAAAAAAAAAAAGATAAATTCTCTAAGAGAATGGCTACATGGAAGAAAAATTACATTTCCTTGGGGGGAGGATTACCTTGACCAAGTCCACTCTAACCAACCTACCTATTTACTTCCTTTCACTTTAGAATTCCACTTAAAGAAGCAAAGAGGATTGAAAAACTCATGAGAAATTTTTAATGGGAGCCAAGGAAAATTACATTTCCTTAGAATTCCACTCTTCCATTGACTCTCAAAGAACACATCTATTAGCAAACAGAAACCTCTACTCTTGACATGATTTTGTGTAAGAATACTGTCAAGCAAAACCATACAATGCAAATGCCTCCACCCTTGGGGGAACCAGATTTCCCCAAACTCCTTTCACTTTGGGACCAACCACCTGATTTCTTGACAGTACTCTGTAGAATGATTTAACTGTAAACTACCATTCCTACACTCTTTCCACCATCTTTCATCTAGCCAATTCACATCAATCACTCTAAATGTAATTTGGATTTTGGACAGAAACCGAATGCATTCTTCCACTTCTCTATCCAGCAAAGGCCTTCTAAACTTTGGGGCCCAAACCACTGAACCCTAGTTTAATTGATAGCATTGTGAAATTACTACGTTCTTTTCGCTCAAATTGTAAAGTCTAGGACAAATCTCACAAAGCTTTCCCACTCCCAAACAACCATCCTCCCAAAACCAAGTGGCATTACCCAAACCTACCCCCTTCAACCTGTTAAATTGACCATTAAAGAATGAGACTTCATGATGATCCCCTTCCACACCCCCACTCCTCCATAAGTTGAAACTTCCCTAGAATCCGACCCAAAGTTAATCACCTTGAATTTCCTTTCCACTACCCTTCTCCAAAAAGTTTCCTTCTCCACCCCAAATCTCCAACCCCACTTACCCAGCAATGACTTGTTCATCAACCCTACCTTCCTAATGCAGCCCCCCCCCCCTCCAAATCCTTTTTGGCCATACACATCCAATCCCATTTAACCAAATGAAACTCCTGGACTTCATAATTAAAATCCCAGAGAAACCCCCTCTGAATCTTTTTTATCTCATCTGCCACCATAGCTGGAATCTTGACAATGGAAAGATAATACACAGGAAGATTGGACAAAACACTTTTTATAAGCATAATCCTTCCTCCCAAGGATAAATACCTCCCCCTCCACTCTGATAGCTTTTGGTCAATCCTATTTATTACAGGCTGCCACATTGAAAGCGCAGAAGCTTTTGCACCAATGGGAAGTCCCAAATTAGTAAACAGGAATGCCCCAACTAAATAACTCATGGCTTTTGCACACTCCTAGTCTTCCAGAACAGAATTAGACATAGCCCCCACACCAATCATTACGCTTTCCTTCAAGTTAATTTTCAAACCGGCCAGCAACTCAAAACCTTTTAAAGTCGCTCTTAAACTCAGCCATTATGATTTCTGCCAGCCCTATTACAATTCACCCAAAACAATTGTTCCCTATATGCCCCTTGCTTGGCCATGCAATCTACCATTTCATTTACGGTCCTCCTATTCCAAATGAAGGTAGCTTCCATTTCATTGGCTAAAGATTGAATTTCCCTTATTGTTGTCTATACTCCAAATCTCCTGGAATATTACTGCTTAACCAAGAAATAACCAACTTGGAGCCCCCTCCACGTTCAATAGTTGGGTTCCAACGCTCCTGTTGCATCTCAAGTTGTGTCGCTTTCTCTCAAAATGGAATTTATTGGAATTTAGGATTAAGAAGGCTTAGGGAGTTTGAATCATAGAGGAAGCCATACCCCCTATGCATTGGTTGGAAGATGTTTTTCATGATCAAACTAAACTGGATACCAGAACTGGCCCCTTCTTCTGGCATCTTCTCCTGTGCTTCATTCTTGGAAGTCTTTCTTTGGATTCCAAATCCAATCTGTCTTATGAATGCAATTTGTGGAGGCCCTGTACACCCTAGAATAAGGGATTCCTATTGGGCGGTTTTTAATGATAAAATTAACTCTTGTGAGATTCTGCAAAGGAGAAAACCGTTTTGATATCTCTCTCCTCATGTTTGGCAAGCTAGTGGTGAAAATACTCCCCATCTGCTAATCTCCTGTATCTATGTGATGACTATCTGGAAACATTGTTGTATTTGGGTGTAGACAATCTCCTGACAACTTGAAGAGCCTTTTTTTTTATAAGCCACTGATAAATTTCATTAATAAAAGAAGCAATTACCATATCCAAAATACAGCAACAAACATCATAAAGAAAAGGGCTCCCAGACAAATGCAGCCCCAGAAGGCCAGAACACGAAAAGGAACAAGAGAACCAAAACAAAACTATTACAGATACAAGTTATAGCCTGGATCAGGACATCCCCATTCTAGATGTTCCTTTAACACTCCTTCCCTTGCCAGTATGTCTGCCACCATATTGGCACTTCCATGTATCCAATTGAATGAGGTATTCAAGAAGCTCCCAACAAAAAAGTGTCTGCCTCACCATCCATCTAACCCTCTGAGGTACTTCATCTTGGTTATTAAGCCAACAAGTAACAGTTTGACTTTGACAATCTCCTATTTCCACGTCTTTCATCCCATATGGTCTTAGTAGCTTTAGGCCTTGGATAACAACCATCAATTCAGCCCTTAGAGAGTTACCATGCCCAATTGGACCTGAAAAACTTAAAGCCTTCCTGCTGTTAGTGACTTGGTGGGGACCATTTTGGTCAATCTTTGTGGTCCTGTATATTGAACTCACATCAGGTGGTCTCCTCCTGACAACTTGAAGAGCATATTTGAGACTTCTTTCTTCTCACCTCCAAGGGAAAGAGGTAAAATCCTCTGGAGATGCACTAGAACAGTTGTTCTGTGGTGTATTTGAAAAGAGAGGAATGCAAGATTGTTAAGAGAGAAGCAAAAAAAGAGTGGAGGAACTCAAAGAAATCACAATAAAGGTTGTTCATTGGGTGAAGACTTAAGACCTGTTTGTTCCATTCTCTATCGATGATATATGCAGATACTGGAAAGTAGCATCTGATTTTTCCTTGCCATTTGGAAGCCAGTAGTTTATTTGAGCCCTCCCTCCACTTTACCTCAAGCTGAACTTTGATGGGTGTAGCCTTGGTAACCTTGGAAGCTCCAGAGTTGGAGGAGTGCTTTGAAATGAGGTGGATCATATTGCACCTATGATCTCAGGGCCAATGGTGGTGGGAAATTCAGGGCAGAGCTAACAGTGGTTCAGTTGGGCTTGAAAAAAGGCAAAATCCTTAAATTACAGAAATATCATTTCAGAGAGAAACTATAAAGTGGTTATCAGGAGACTGCAGAATGATTGGAGGGGCCGTGGAAATATAACCATACGGTAAGGGAGATCAGGGGCTGTCTAAGGAGCTTCATGTTAGCATTAAGTGGATACCAAGATCTGCTAATAGTTTAGCGGATGAATTGCACAACAAGGGGTTGTTAGTAATCAGATGTATTGAGGTGCAGTGGACACAAGGGGGGAGTTGTAATTTTGTATTGGGAAGACTAGCTGAGGCTAACCTATGGACTAATGATGCTTTGTACTTTCCTGATTGATTAATACATACATATACATGTATCTATATAAGCATATTTCATATGAGAGCAGAAAACCACACCAGCCTAGTATTCTAGAATGGAAAGGCAAATGCAAATCAACATGATGCTCAAAACTAAGATCCACAGGACAGGATGGTTTCAGTCAATGTGATGCTAAGCAGGAAGTTCAATGTTACAACCTTCTAAAATGGCAAATATCTTAGTTTCCCTCAATAATTTACAACAACCTATCTTTAATCGCTTCATCTGCTGAAATAATCATTTTTTGGTTAAAAGGATAATTCATTGAAACTAAGAACTAGTACATAGCCTTGGATACATGCAAATGCAAATCGATATGATGATCAAAAAGGAGATCTACAGAACAAGATGATTTTAATCAATGTGATGCTAAGCAGGAAGTTTGATGTTACTACCCTCTAAAATGGCAAATGTCTTTGTTTCCCTCAATAATTTACAACAACCTACCTTTACTTGTTTAATCTGATGAAATGATCTTTTTTGGTTAAAAGGATAATTCATTGAAACTAAGAACTAGTGCATAGCCTTGGATACATGCAAATGCAAATCAATATGATAAAATAATCTCAGATACCATGCCAATGATAGCTCAAGTAATAGCACACAGAAATGAACTTCGTACCATGCAAATGGAAGACAAGAAAATAGATCCCAAAATAACCCATAACATAAAAGTTCAAAAGATAATGTATACAATTAATCTTGGTTAATTAAGTACCAAAAAAAAATAATCTTGGTTAATTTGGCAGTAGACAAAATAGTACCTTTTATTAGAGGATACTTTTTGCTTTGAAGGAACCTTGGAGTATGCATTAAGTATCCTGAAAAAACAATGAGAAGTTCAACACACACAAGGAAATATACATGTTCCTCAAACAATTAGAATGATTCAAAGGCCAAATAAGAAGTTCCTTTAAAGACAGGATCAGTCATTTGGTGCTACAAGGACTTCCTAAGAAAGGCAAGCTGGTTAACAAATAACATGTCTGTTAGCTCACATTGGGTGAGCAGGTCAGCAAATGCTTTGGTTGATCATCTTGCTGAACAAGGGGTTTTGAGGGAACATCTGTACTGGGCAACATTGTAATGTTTTTGGTGTAGCTTTTACACTTTAATCTCAAGGGAGGCTGCACCCCATGCCTCTCCTTGGGGTGCTTGTAACATTTCTGATATATCATTAATAAATCTCTTTTCAATTATCAGAAAAAAAAAGAAGTTCCTTTAGAGACATGTAATAGAAATTTATAAATTCTGCAATGAGACTTACCTAACCTATATAGTTTTAGATATTTGAATAAAAGCATATACAATAAACTTTTGATATAAAAAATACATAAATTAAATTTAGAAATTCAGGTGACTAGGATTAACAGCATGAACGTGAAAAAGGAAACCAGACAGATATTTCTACTACCTCCAGAGATACAAGTTGTTTGTTTGGAACATTCTCGCATGTGCAAACATTAAAGTTTACTAACTTAACATGAGACGAGAAGATCTTGGGGACAGTTTATGGTCAACTATGGGGTTGGTTTGTAGTTTTTGTTTGCTTTGGTATATGTTTATGTTTTGCAGTGCAAATTCTTATTGTTTTTTCCTTTTAATGAAATTTAACTTTTTACTATTAAAAAAAGACATGAAAGAGATGCAAATATTAATAATGCCTAGACTAAAGGGCAACAAAAACAGAAATGTAGTCATCAGATGCTATAAGCTTAAAAACTCTAAATTACTGAAAATGTCAAATAGATTTTAAAGAGACCAACCATATTTTAACATTTCCAGAAATAGTATAGACTACTTCAAATCATCCACAGTTGATTATTTCAGAATTTCTTCTGGACTCCACAATGAAGGATTGGCTCACTGTTGCCTTAGGGGCGAGAAATACAAGATTACTTGGACCTGGTGAGTGAGGCACCAGCAGAACCAAGACAATACCCATTGCAAGGACCTCAAAACTTTAATAGTTTTTTTTTTTCTTTTGAAAGTAAAAATAAAATTTCATTGAAAAGAAAAAAGTTACATCCTATCCAGGTGTTAAGGCAACACCCACATGCCAGGAATTCTGGCCAAATAACTACATTTGAATCCTCAAAACCTCAAGCTTATCCCCAATGTCTTATTTCGGTTACTTGCCTAATTCTGGTACTAGATCTTGGCCTACAACAGTTTTGCTGACTGTCGCCACTATCCTCTCCAAATTTTAAGCTTTGGCTACAAAAATTCTTCTAATTCTTTCCTTCCATATATTCCAACACCTTGAAAATGGAATGAAACTATAAATCAACAAATTCTTCTAACTCTTTCCTTCCATATACTTCTTCTTTCATCTCTCAATCCCCTAAAATTCCAATATACCGACTTCATCTTCAAAGTCAGACTCCAACTCCCCCCCCCCCCTCCTCTACATTTTCTGCAACCTCCATCTACTCTTCATCAACTATTCCTTCTTCCTACGCTTCACCCCCTTCCCCAATAAATCTCTTTTTGTTATGTTCTTTCCTTCTGCTTCTCTCAAAATGTTCTATTGCCTTTCTCACTACCCCCATCCCCTAGAAAAAATAGGCCCAGACCCAAAAGACAATCCCTTTAATTACAACACAACCCAAAGGGTAACCCAACAGAAATTTCCTACTAACTAGAACCATAGCCCAAAACAAAAATTGTCTTTGAACTCCTTGCTTAGCTAGACCATCCCATGCTGTTAGCTGATCTTCTAATCCATCTTATTTGAATCACCATGTCATTAGAAGCCTGTTTGAAGCGCCTGAACTCATTCCTTAACTGCCAAATAATTCCCTCCCCTTTCTTCAGCCAGTTCACCACAGTTTTTGAGTCCCCTTCAACAATCAACCTATCAATCCCCATTTCTTTGGCTTTTTCAACACCAAACACTACTGCCTTCATTTCTGAACTCGCCACATCACCATGCTAAATAGGACCTGCAAACATGGCTAGCATATTTTCATTATCTTTCCTTATTACCCTACCAATGCCCGATGGCCCCGGATTTCCCAAACAGCTGCCATCAAAATTTAGTTTCTTCCACCCAGCATCCAGAGGGGACCAGGATTCAATCACCATAGATTTCCTAGATGCAGTTTTTGCAATTATTCCCCTTGACCTAAAAAAGTCCTCTGTCTTAAAATCAGCAAATAAATTTATTGTTTTCACCCAATGCACCACCCTTAGAGTTATCACTTCAATCACAGCTTCTTCTTTCTTTGTCTTCAAATATCCTCAGATTTCTTTCTTCCTAAATTGTCCAAGCAACTGCTGCTCTAGTGCATCTTCCCATAATTCTGCCTCTCCTTTTAGAACACCTGAATAAGTGAGAGCTAAATAAGCTTTCCAGGTTAGCAGGAGGAGTCCAGCTGCATCAAAACAGAGAGGAAAACCACTCCCAAATGAAGTTAGCAAAAGGACAGGAAATTAAAAGATGAAAGGCAGTCTCACCATGCAGCTTACATAAGGAGCTCCAATTTGGGGACAAGCACCAATTTGGTCTTTTCCTCTAGAGTAGATCACAGGTATTGATGGAGCCATGGAACACTTCCCAACAGAATGCACTGACTTTAGGAGGGATTGGCTGAAGCCAAATCTCCTTGACAGGGAAAGGAGAGGAGGATGTGGCAACAAGAGTTCAAAAAGCCAATTTGGTCTTTTTCTCAGTATTGTCTTCCCCAATATCCTTTCAATTTCAACCCCCACTCTCTCCTCTTCTCCCTCCCCTGTAACCTCTCCTCTCTCCCTTTGGTCCTCCATTTCTACCCTTTTGACCAGACCCCTAAACCTCCTTGCCCCACCGTCCTTTTTCTGTTATAGACCTTGTGTTGGTCCTCCCCTGATTTTTTTTCTTTTCAAACTACTTCCCCTTTCGTTCGTTACTTCAAACCCATCTCCCCTATTATCTCCCTCTTGCAGGAATTTTCAAGTCCAAAGAAGTAAATGAAGCGGATGGAGAAGTGGAAGACACAAAGTCCAAACCTACCTCATTGTTCAGTTGAGCTATGAGGTTTTGGAAGGCATCCATGCACTATCACTAGTTAGTACTAAGATAGGTGGAGGCTTTTGTTGAATTTCCACTTGCTTAGACAATGGCATGCTTATACAAGAGCACGACCAAAGAAGAAAGAAAAGAAAATTCAGACAATACAGGGGCCGAGACCCTATTTTTGTCCTAGGAAAAGAAGAAAAGATGGAAGAAGAAGAATGTGTTGATTGGACAAAATGTTAAGTTCTTCCCTACTTGTTGATTCAGATTTTGAAGTCTTTGAGGCTTGAGACAGCATACAGCAACATGTGTGCTGATTAAACCCTAACAAATAAGAAAGTAATAAAAAAAAAAACTAGAATATAAACCCACAAAATGAATATCTTAGTTTAATAATGTCTATTTTATTATGATAATCTCAAAAAATTAAGAATATAAAATGTATTTCATAGTTCCATGGACAAATTAACTTGAAAATTAAGCAAAGCAACCCTCCATAGTCACCTTTTCACCTTGACAACTATGTGTCCAAAAATCTAATTTCACATTTATACTTTCTTCCTTATCTTTAATAAATTTTGTTACTAATAAAAAATTCCTAATGGTTTTCTACACTATCAGAAGTCAAAACATAAGGAACATGAACATGAAGAATGCCATGTGACCTAAAATTTCTGAGTGTTGTATTCATCAAAAAAAATTCTGAGTGTTGAAATGGAAGTGTGGAATACCTGCTGAATAGATTTGCAACTTCTTCACATTCTCGTGAATTGTAAAACCAAATACCATTAACTTCTTGGGCTGCATTCCGATACAATAAATATGGAACTTGGACTTCATATTCAAAATCCCCCAAGAGGTTTTCCACCAGATTATCTGATCATACAGACATGTTAAACCATTCGATAAAAATAAATACAAAAAAATCATATGCAATATGAGATTGAGATTATCAAACACCAATATCAACATGTAGTGCAAACACCATAAACAAGTAATGCAATATCTTGGTTATAGGGCTACAAAATCAGTAGGATGGACGAAAGGCTCCCCATAATAATCCCATATCCAATTACCATTCACCAGCAGCAACTAAGGCTATGTTCAAATAGTGGGGAGTAGGAAGTCAGAGTGAGAACCAAATTTTCAACTTCCTTTTCTGCCACCATTGTGGGTGTGTGGGTGTGGGTGTGTGTGTGTGTATTTTTATAAGCAATGATCAAATTTATTAATTACAACATAAAAAATTATTTACAAGTACAAGTACGAGAAGCAAAAGCTCCCATATCATTAGACCAGCACCTGATGGCTGGAGAGTCTTCATATGCTGATTCTCATCCAGACATATTTGGGTGTTTTGCAGCATTAGTAGTCTCCCCACAAAATACTTAGGTCCACCATTGGGCCACTGTGGGACCCAATATAGAGAGATGCGACAAGATAATGGCTACTTAGAAATCCAGATAGTTCTCTAAGGATGGGAAGCTCATTTATCAGAAGTGCTCTCTCATCACTACCAATTTATTATTTATCCCTATTCCAATGTTTTAAAAGGCAATGGAAGGTGTACATCTGATACACATTCTGGAAGCGTCCTATTTCAACATTCCATTCTGTTCAATGCCATATCCATCATAAGATTATGGGTTCTTAAACCATTTCTTATTACTTCCACCCAAGTCCTTTTTGATTTATCCCTATCTCCTCTAGCCCCTTCAATTGAGGATCTTCCATGCAGGCATGCACATGACCAAACTATCTGAATCTACTTTCTCTTGTCATGCCTCTTGGAGTTACTCCTAGGTTTCTTCATTTAACTTCTTTTATAACCCTGTCCTTTCTAATTTTATCATTCGTCCCATCATCCACCTAAACATTCATATTTCTACCACACTCATTTTTCGGGCATGTCATTTCTTGACTGCCTAATACTCTGCTCCCTACAACATCAATGGCCTTACAGTAGTTTTGTAGAATTTTCCTTTTGGCCAAAGTGGTATTGGACTTTCATATAAGATTCTATATGCATCAATTTTACCCATCCTGTTCTAATTTTATGGGTGACATCCTCCTCAGTCTCTCCTTTATTATGAATTATTGAACCAAGGTAGTGGAAGAGGCCACATTAAGTAATCTTTTGGTCTCCAAATGTGCCCTGGTTTGCTCTCCTTTTTTTATCAATGAAGAAATTTTTTTATCGGCATTACAAGCATCCTTTTTTTATCAATCAAGAAGAATTTATTAATTAAAAAAATCAAAGCCATACAAGCATCCCTAAGAGAGGCGCGAGCTGTGCCCTCTGCTGTAAACAATCAGCCAAAGCATTTGCTGCCCTTCCCGTCCATTGAATGCTTATATTCATATTTCATGTAAGCCACTTGAATTTCTTGATTTCATTCTTATTGCACCTAATAAGTGAATAGATTTTGAATCCTTCAACCACCCCACCACTTTTCAGTCCTCTTCTATCAGTAGAGATTCCACACCAAGCTAATTTGCAATATGCACTCATTGAATAGCCGCTAGTAATTCAGCCCTTATAGTCTCTGACTCCCAACCAATGTTTTAAAAAATGACCCAGAACCGGAACCGTTCTGGCCACCGGTTTCCGGGTCGACGGTTCAACTGTCCGGGTCAACAGGTTGTTGATCGATTCAACGGTTTTTTGCCAGGGACTGGGCTTGGGGTAAAACATAACCGGTTGCCTGGACGGTTCTCAGGCCAAACGGTCTGACCGTCCAGGTCAGCAATGGTTTGAAAACCATGCTCCCAACGGACCCATGGAAAAAAAAATAAAATATATCCAACCTCATTTATTAGGACCCCACCTATTTCAAACAGACCTAGATTACCATGGTACTTCCATCAAAGTTTAGCTTTACATAGCCTTCAGGAGGAGGTATCCAAGTTGCCAGTGGTTTGTTCTTTTTGGAAGAGCAACTTCCGAGTTCCAACTGATGAGGCGATGACAAATTCCTTGATAAATCATCAAAGAAAAATTGACCAATTTCTCTTATTACTATTATTATTAAGGGTCCTTTTGGTTCATGGGAATAGGGGTCTAGAATCATAATCAAAATGACCCATCCTATTCCAACCATTTGGTTGGGCAAAGTCAAAGTCCAATTCCCATCCCTAGTAGAATGGCATTCCCCATTCGAGGGAATGACCATTTCCTCCCCCTCCCTTGAGAATGAGAATCCCATTCCAGCCAATTCTAATTCCAATTCCAATTTCCATCGAAACTAAATAGGAGGGGGGAATAAACCATTCTAATTCTGATTACGAGGGGTTTTGATTCTGATTCCAATTCTGATTTCGAATGCAAACCAAACGGACCCTAAATTTACGTTGTTTAATTCTATTTTAGTCCTATTATTTTAAAACCTCTTATTTCTAAAGCATTTGTCCATAAACCTAAGTTTGCATTTAACCCCTCACTAGTCTCATCAATTATACTATGTCATCAGCAATCAAACATTAGGCATCATGGGATTCTTGAATATGTTTAGTCAATTCATCTATAACTAGTGCAAATAAACAAGGAATAAGTCCTAAACCTTCCTGAAGACACATTCTAACTGCAAAATCTGATATTCTCCAACAGGTGTTCTAACATTGGGTTTTTTTTTGATAAATAACATCAATTCCATTAAAATAATGAATAGATACAAGAAGATCCCCTTAGAGGCGCGAGGAGCAGCCTCTCCAAACAGCAAAAACACAAACTACAACAGAGAAAACATGAATGTTGAAATTAAAAGAATAGTTACAATTGTGCCCAGAACAATGTTTCCCTATTTATCCCTTGTTTTGCCAAGACATCAGCAAAAGCATTAGCTGATCTCCCA